GAGACAGTGTCGAAGGCCTTCCGAAAGTCCAGGAAGACGATGTCCACTGCTACCCCTGCGTCTAAGGATTTGGTGACCTGGTCGTAGGAGGCCACCAGGTTGGTCTGACAGGACCTGCCGCTAATGAACCCGTGTTGGCTGCCCCTAAACATAATCTCCCCCCTTCCCCAGCCCCTCGTGGACATGTGCCAGGATAAGTCTCTCAAAAAGCTTGCCCAGGGTTGAGGTAAGATTAACTGGCCTATAGTTTCCCGGGTCCTCCTTCCTCCCCTTTTTTGAAGATGGGAACCACATTGGCCCTCTTCCAGTCCTCTGGTACCACACCAGAGCACCACGAGTGCTCGTACAGCCGTGCCAGAGGGCCCGCAATGACCTCAGCCAATTCCCTCAGTACTCTAGGGTAGAGATCGTCCGGACCAGCTGACTTGAATACATCCAGTCCCTCCAGAAAATCCCTAACTAGTTCCTCACTGACCCTTGGCCTGGGTGCACCTCCCCTGGGGTTTAAGGGAGGCCTCGTGGGGGGGCTGACCCGGTCCCTGCTCAGGAAAATGGAGGCAAAGAAGTAGTTAAATATGTTGGCTTTGTCGTCTGGTGTGACGACCAAATTTTCTAGCGTGTCTTGCAGGGGCCCCACGTTACCCGGAACCTTCTTTTTGCCCCCTCTGTATTTAAAAAAGGACTTCTTGTTGTTCTTGATCCGGGAAGCTTGTCCCAGTCCTATCTCTGCCTTGGCCTTCCTGACCACCCCCTGCAGCCCCGAGCAACTACAGTATAGTCCTTCCTGGGGATGGCCCCTCCCTGCCATTGGGTGTGCGCCTCCCTTTTAGCTAGAAGATGTTCCCAGATGCTTTGGGTGAGCCATGGGGGCTTTTGTGCCCTCGTGCTCCCTTTGATCCGTGTGGGATTACCTCCCTTTGGGCTTGGAGGATCATCTCCTTAAGGAGCGACCACTCTCCTTGGACACTTGGCTCCCCTCCCCTCCGGGACCTCAGCGCTTCCCCGACTATTCTCCTTAGCTCATTGAAGTCCGCCCTCCTGAAATCTAGGGCTGCTGCCTTGCTACCGGCCTTTGCCACCCTGCGCTGGATAGTGAATCCCAGCAGGCGATGATCACTGTCGCCCAGGTGGTCAAGCACCCGCAGCCCCCTCACCAGGTCGTCTCCCGTGGCCAGCACCAGCTCCAACAAGGCGTCTCCCTGGTGGGGCTGTGCACCTCCTGGGTTAGATGGCAGTCCTGCATTCTGGTTAGGGACCTACGTGAGCGGTCAGACCTGGCTGACTGCTCTTCCCAGCAGATGTCTGGAAAGTTCAGGCCCCCCATGATGACCACGTCCTTTGACCTAACGACCTCTGTGAGCTGACTTAAGAATTCCTGGTCTAGCTGTTCCCCGTGGTTGGGAGGTCTGTAGTCGACCCCACCGTTAAATCTCTTCCCCCGCGACTGCCTTGTATCCTAACCCAAAGCACTTCCGTGTGCCCCTCCCCTGACTCTGTGCTACCTGGTGAGGATGTGTATTCCTCCTTAATGTAGAGCACCACCCCCCCGCCTTTCCTCCCCATCCTGTCCCTCCTGTACAGCCGATAGCCCTTGATATTCACTGCCCAGTTGTGTGTTGGGTCCCACCATGTTTCATCTATGTCTGGGTTGGTGTCAGGTAGCAGGAGGGGAAGTTTCTCTTGTTATGTCACATTACAACACAGGCTGCTGTGGTTTGGCTGCTTGGTATCACAGGGATCATCACACTCATGACTTCTAGTTCCATTTCATCAGATCACACAGTGCCACCAGAAAAAGCACGTGGCCTTTGGCCAGAGCACATGAGGTCTCTGATGTCTAAACAACTGAGTGAGTCAGCACGAACGAGCTTTGAGGGGTTGTATGATGAAGTGATACTACAGCTGGAAATGGAGGAATCTGTCTCTGCTTTACCAGTTGACCTTGCTGAGACCACTGGTAAGGATCAACCTCGTGACCTTCTGTGATCCAAGCAGGAGGGGCGGCAGCTCCAGTCTGAGGCATGCAGGAGTCTTAAATGCATGGTTCCCTTTTCAAATGTAATGGAAAGGGTGCATCTAAGGCCCTTAGGTAGCTCTGGCAAGTCTGTATGCTCTAACACAGCAGACTCCTAATAAGAATATCTAGTTTTTATGTAGTGCATGTTTTGCCTTTAGATCTCAATGTGCTTTACCAATGGTCTCAGTAGCTTTATTCCCCGTTTTACAGATGGAGAAACTGGGGCTCAGCAAGATGAGGTTGCCCAGCAAGCCAGTGACGGAGCTGGGAAAAGAACTAAGTTTCCCAGGTATGAGTCAAATGTGTCCCAAACACTAGCATATATGTAGTACTGCCCTGCCTCCCAGAATCTGTAATTCTTGAGTCACGGCTTGCCTAGGAACCTTTTACTCAAAAAAGGATCTCCATACAAAATGGCTTCTCGTACAAAATTCTTGACATTACCAGATTCTTTCTTTGACATCTCCCAGCAAAAGACAGGATCATCCCTGACTAAACTGTTCCAGCCAAGTGTGTGTCTAACCTGCTCTCGAAAACTTCTAGAGATAGAAATTTCAGTGTCCCTGTTTCAGTGCTTGACCACCCTCATAGTCAGAAAGTTCCTCCTAATCTCCAAAATTTCCCTAATTTTCCTACTGCGGCTTGAGGCCATTGCTCCTAGTCCTGTCCCTTAGGACCACAGAGAAAAGCCCATCCTTATCCTCTCTGTAATCACCCTTCAGGTATTTGAAGACTGTTAGCAAATTCCACCTCATCTTTTCTTCTCCGGGCTCAGTACCCTTAGTTCTTCCCCTACAAGTTTTGCCGCCTGAGCCCCTAATCTTTTTTGTTGCTCTGCACTAGACTCTTTCCAAACTTCTTGAAATGTGGGACCTAAAGCTGGACACAATGCTCCAGATGAGGCCTCACCAGTGTGGAATAGCGTGAAAGAGTTGCTTCCTTTGCAAGAGCATGCTATTGACTCATATTCAGCATATTGTCTACTGTAACCCCTAGGTCCTTCTCTGCAGTACTGCAGTCTAGCCTGTCACTCCCCGTTCTACATCCATAGGAACAGGAGGCAGGTCCCCCTAGTTTGGGGAAAGGATGATACCTGCATTGAGGGGATCAAAAGCCTGGGTGTCTGAAT